CAAGTTCTGCTTAAACCTGTTACATGAACACATTGAAAGAGAATCCAAAGCCTTTATGTGTTTCCCATCAGATAAAATGCATGGAGGAAAGAAAATTAAGTCAGCAAAAGTTAGAGCTAGGCTACATAAATCTTTTACTGTAGCAAACTAAGGGAATGACTAGTTCAAAGCAATACACAGTGAAACAGAAATCATTTTCTCCAGTTCTATCTACCGTAGACAGTATCAATTCCTTCCTTAAAACAAGGAAGAAATTTTATAAGAATTAAGAGAGGAGAAGCTGGAACTGGTTAGGGAGATTTAAGTATTTGCTCTTAGGAGCTTTTTGTTCTTTTATTTTTAAAAAATCTGGATCAGCTGTTATAATTTGTATTATATTTTAAATTAAGGGCCAGCAAATGGTGTCCAAAGTAAGTGATATTTTTTGGACTTATTCTCTTCGTGTATATCAATAGGTCTATCTAGGAATTATGACAAACTCGTACAGTCCTTTAGCAGACCTTCAAGTGTTGGCAAAGAAACGAATGTCCACATAGTTACATATCCCATAGAGTGGATCCTTTTACCTCAACGGTCAGCATCACTGTGAATTGTGGGTAAGAGTAATGGGCTGAACTTTTCACACAAAAAATGACCTCAACCTCTAGCTAACTGCTGTGGCTCAGAGGTGATTACTTTTTTCCTTTTTCAAAGGGAAGCTGCTGCTTCAGCATCTTCTCCTGGAGCCCCTGGCACAGTTTCCGTCCATGTGTCAGGGGAACCTCTAAGTGTATCACTATGACGGAAGCCAACTGCTGGCCCGAAAGCATTGAGGACTGTTTGTTCACAGAAAAACCTGAGCAGAATGCAGGTGTTACATAGTTCAAAGGTGCCTTGAAGAAAACCGATGCTGTTGTAGGAGGGGACTTTCAGGCTCAAGTTATTTCTCAGTTGCTCTTCCATAGTCCTCTCCCAGCCTTTAGGGAGTCTAACCAATAGTTTTTGCTTGGGTGTTTTTCTCTGTTTATAGTTCCTTGACTTAGCAAGATTTTGGGCAGTTAAAGAATTTTCATGTATTTTTAAGGAGAGCCACAGTGTATCCTTCTCTGGCAGGGGTAGGGGGAAGTATTTTATTAATGAATGCAATATGTGTTCTTGGTAAAAGCCAAAATTAAACTGGCTCACTGTTTTTGTACTGTTAGCTGTCGACATTTAGGTGTGTTGCTTGGTGTGGTGACTCAATTTCCTGTAGGATAGTTGGCAACTCCACTTTGAGGTTTGTTTGGAGGGATGAAAAGTTCAGTTACTTGATGTCTTAGAACATTTGGGGTTAAAATTCCTAAAAGTGAAGCTTTACTAATGATCCTGCATGGCTTGCTATATTGCCTCTTCACCTAGAAATTTGGAAAAAAAGCAATAGTCTCTCTATGCAAATATCAAGAATAAGTCTTTATTTGAGCAACTGTTTCACAGAACAAATTGTTCTTTACTTTGTTGTTAGTAATTATTTTCTCATTAGTATGTAGATGTGTTCCAGTGATTTTTTTTTTCATTTTTCGTATTTATACAGAAGGTATTAGAACTTAACATGCATGTATATGCCACTTTATAATCATATTTGGTTTCTGTCTGTCAAAATGGCTAGTGCAGCCGGGCGTGGTGGCTTATGCCTGTAATACCAGCACTTTGGGAGACTGAGGCAGGCAGATCACAAGATCAGGAGTGCGAGACCAGTCTGACCAACATGGTGAAACCCTGTCTCTATTGAAAATACAAAAATTAGCCAGGCATGGTGTCACATGCCTGTATTCCTCCAGCTATTCAGGAGACTGAGGTGGGAGAATTGCTTGAACCTGGAAGGTGGAGGTTGCAGTGAGCTGAGATCACACCACTGCACTCCAGCCTGGGTGACAGAACGAGATTCCATCTCAAA